GGATAAAGAGCACTGTCAGAGTTCAACGTCTCTTCCAAATGGTTTCACGGATAGCACTCACGAAGGTATTTTTTGTCAAGATAATTAACTGGAGCTTACGAGCTGTTTGAAGTACGGGGAGTGATGGCCTATAAAATTTTCACTATAACACTTTGAGGGTTTTTTACTGCCAGCACTGGTTTGACTTGGATTTGGCATTTGGGCGTGTTTTAGGGCAACTAGCATTTTTTGGCAATTCTAAAAAATTTCGACGCTGTAACTCTTACTATAGGTGGTAATGTATTAAATTGATATCACAGAAACGCAGGAATTTGTAGTCATAACCCACATGACATGCTTCGACTACGTGTGAAGCCGGTTTTTTCGGCATTTATTTATTCTACAGAACGATCGCTCGAACTGCTACCACAAAAAGGATCTTGTTATTTTCAAAGAGTTTTCAATTTCCAACAACGCGACAAACAGTGCCAGTCTAGGGCGCGGCTGGTGATTTTTGGTCTGTCGAGCGGGGTCAGAAATCTTCTTTCCAGAATGGCATAGAAATGTTTTTCATTTTCACCTGTGCGATAACACGTCCAAATACCAAATTTGAGTTAAATCAGCACCCGAAAAAACTCTTACGACGCTACGGTCTTTACGTGCTTTTATGTGTCACTTGTAGCGTTTCATTGTTCCGGACAGTTCTTTGAGGTCTGAAATATTGCTTAGTCTGCGAGCACAGCGCTTGTTCGCTCGTCGAAGAACCGTGCCACCATTTCTGTAGCTGGTTCTAAGTCTTCTGTCTCGACCTATTAATGCATGCTCTAGGCTTTGTGTGATGTTCTTGAGATATGTTGAATCTGTTTCATTGGAATGTGGCATGTCTATCTTTCGGGGAGTAGAGATGATTGCGAGCAGGAGCTGAAGGATTTGATATTCACGTCTCTGTTAGTGTTATTTCAGGGCGTTACTGACCTGCACTTTTTGGCAAATTGCCAAGTTTGCAATGAAAGCTTTACCCACTGTTCTGTGGCTGGACGACGTAGTCGGACGGTAGGGAGAGGGGTTTGAAACATGGTTGGGGATAGCGGTTAGTGGGTGCCCAAATGCCGCTTGGGAGGCAGGAATTGAGGACAGAATAGAGGAGGCGAACAAGGGCACTAGTCGGGAGTTCGAAGCAAGAATTGGAGGCAGCGGCAAAAAGAAAAAGACAGCACAGTACTACAAAAAACAGTAAATTCAAGCAATCCTGTTAATATGAATAAGAGCAAAAAAAAGCTAAATCAAGCAATTGGAATCTGTGAATGAAAGCAAAAAAGAAAAAACCCTGGGCTTGTACTAGTTGAAATTTTCTTACAAAATACAAAAACCCGTTTTCAGTAGGAGGATTGTTCTCTGTTTATGAAGTTGATGCATAGGTGAA